TATATATCTATTTTAATCTATTGTGACAACATGAGGGAAAGTAAATGATGACAGTTTTTTTGAATGATGTGTGGTTTTTCTTGCTAATGCAAGTCTTTATTACTATATAAAAAAGTTCTTTATTTGTGGAGTGCAACTATTTCTCCCAAGCATGTCCTTGGAGGGACTATGGAGCAGTATGTGATGCTGGCTGCAATTTCACAGCCGTTAGCATAGGCAGCACATTTGTGAATTTATCGACGGAGATGGGGAGTTGGCTGAATTTGCGGGTGGCATGCTGAAACATGTCCATCAGGCTGTCAGACTCGTCATTATCACTTAGGCCCGCGAGCCTGCCCGAACCTGTGCCTTTCCAATGCTCACCTTCCTCCAGCCCATCATCTTATTTTACCTTACATCACTTACACCGTCTCCACACTGCAGGCGAGCGATCCAGCGCTGCATTATAATCAAGCAGGATGCCTATAAAAGTGCACATTTCGTGCTTTGTTTCTTGTGCTTGCAGTGCAAATGGCTTTGTGTGTTTTTTGTTTGTTGCATTGCTTACAGTGTAGATGGGTTTTATCTTTATTCATGTAATGATGAACAAAGCCTTAGCCTTGATTTCTTCTTCAAATTAATAACTTCATTATATTATATTATATCATATTATTTATAAAAGTTCTTCAGGGTTATACATAACGGCAACAAGAATGGTTCTTTGCTAGAATGTTTTTGTGGAAAAAAGTTTTTTGAAAATGATCATGCAACCCTAAGCTGTTTTCAACAACACACTGTAACACACATTGTAAGCAATCATTGACCACTGAGCATTTCAGACAGTTGACTCCAGCTTTTGGAAATCCAGTTTATTGGATTCCCGCTTGATTTTGATCCCTCAACAATAACACCCTTTATGGATCGTTGCACAGATTTCATTGAATCAAAAAAAAAACTCTTAAAAATGAAGGCTCCAGTTAGAACCAAAAAGTTTGATTCTGAATATCTAATATACTATAAATAAAGTTTTTTCATGGTTCCATGAAGAGCCTTTAACATCCATGGACCTTTCGATTTCACAAAAGTTTCTTCATAGTAAAGTAAAATAGTATAGTAAAGATTTTTCAAATTATTAAAATGTTCTTCACACTTAGAAAAGTGGTTATTTTAAGAACTTAGTGGTTCTTTTGGGAACCCAAAATGGTTCTTCTATGACATTGCTATATGAAAATCCCCTTTTGGAATCTTTATTTCTAAGTGTGTAGCAGAAGCTTTCCAGCCAATAACTATTAATTCTCTGGTTCTTATAAAAGTTCTTTAAGAAAGAATCCAGAAACCAATACATTGATCTGGAGCACCTATAATGTAAAGTAGAATGATTAGCAACTCAAGAACCCAATGCAGCAAAAAAATGGTCCTTGATAAGAATTGTGTTCGTTGAAGATGTGCTACAAAGGAAAAATCTATAGAAGATAGATCAGCATCATTAAAAATAAAGGTTCTTTAGCACTTATGGTTCCATTAAGAATCGTTAACATTTCATTTGCACAAAAGGACCTTTTGACTATTTAAATGTTTTTCATACTAAGAAAAAAATGGTTGTTTTATATTCAACTGTTCACTAAAAGTTTTACCAAAATGGTTCTTCTGTAGCATCGTTGTGAAACCCACCTTTATCCATTAGCATCACTAATTGAGCTCTTCTTGTTCCTCTTTCAGTTGGTGGTATTACAACATTAATGTTCTTATCTTTAAATCAGTCTGCTTTTTAATTATCACTCTTCTTTCAACTCAACAATAATTCAATGAAACTCAATTCAAATGATAAATGTGGTGTATGTCCAAAGCAGATGGATTAAGTGTAAAACAGTGGCAAGATGATGTGAATAAGGGTGTGTGTGTCACATGGGCTTGTTGAGACGTCTCCCTGTGCTGACACATCTGCACCCAATGATCTATGCGGCTCTCTTATGTGTGTATGTGTGTTTATGTTACTCATTTACATAATCTCTCAGTGAAAGTTGTGCTGATCTTACAGTAAAATAACTGCAAAGTTAAACAATACTGCACAGAAAAGAGACTACGTCACTTTTACTGTATATTTATTAGGTTAGCAGGGGAATAAAATCACTTTGTGGTGTTTTTTATTATGATGGAAATTTTAGATAAAGGAATACAATAAAAAAATAACTCAGTTCAATTAGTGGTTCCTCATAATGGAAACATGTTATCCCTACTCGAATACCTTATGTATGATGAACTTAACTGAATTGAGTAAACTTAAACATTGATTCAATCAAGTTCATCCTACCTCAAGTATTTGAGTAGAAATAACATGTTTAAATCACAGGGATCATTATGACCATTTTTTAATTACAGTAAGATATTTTTTAGTGTAGCTGCTAATAATAACTCCTACTAACAAGCCAATCACAGCTTTTCTTGTATCACATCATGGTTACATCCATGGCATTTACATAGTTGTTGCTTTTTTTATTTTTAAAACAACTAAAGCTCTTAGCAGGTCCTCAACTTAAGCATTTTCTGTACACTTCACCACAGTGCTAAAAGCTGTCATGGATGTTTGCAAAATCTGACTGAACAAATATAGACCAGAAAATAACGGTAATTTTCGTTTGTTATTTTAGTAGTGCGATAAGATTTAATTTATTTGAATGAATTGGCTAGTTGATTTACAAAAAGAGTGAATGTTTTCACCTCATTGCTGAGAAATGGCCTGTAATGTAGCTTTCAGTAGCGAAGCTCTTTTATATTTTTTAAATCACGGGACAGAGGTTGGTCAGATGTCCAGATATTGGATATGTGTCTGATTTAAAGCCACATTTGGAAGTGGCTCAGAATGAATGTGAAAAAATCTGATTTTTGCAGATTTTTGTGTTTACACCAAGCGGCAACCTTCCGGTCTCTCTCTTGAAACCAACACGGAAGTGACTTAAACTGCAATTCATCGACTGGATGCAAAAGAGAGTCAATCCCATAGACACCCCCCCCCCCACCTCCATGTTAAAATGCCCAACTTTACAGCAGAAAAAAATTAGTTTACAGCCTGGTGCAAAAAGTGATTTTTGTCTATATAGCTAATTTTGCCATTCATGACAACTGTGAGGAGGGTGAATTTTTTTCAGAACTCATCCGTTTAAATTAAATTAAGCATTAAAGTTCTGCATAATTAAGGGCGTGGCCACTTGAGTGACAGGTGAATGGCCTCTGCTGTCACTACTAGCCGTTTGCCTGCTGTCTGTTAGTGTCACGTCACCTCAGCTAATCCCGCCTTTTTGCCCATTTCCGTTTATCCGGGAGTGACGCGCTACAAAGATGGCGACGGCCGGATCCGCCCACTTTGGGATTCAATAATGCTCTTCAGAAACCTACGGGTGACGTCACGGACACTACGTCCATATTTCTTTACAGTCTATGGTTTACACGTGCAACACATTTCGATCTGTGTCAGATGTGAGTTAAAAAATCGGATATTTTGTGCTAGTGTAAACTGCCTAAAATCATTTACCGGTAGTCAGTCTCTACATGAGTGATTTTAAGCTGTGTTTACACTGGCACAAAATATGTGATAACATCTCAAATGGATTAAGCAAAGTGGTTTATGTTGTGACAACATATTGAAAATATTGTGTTGGTTATCTTGTTTTAAGTAAATTGACCTACTCATGTTTGACCTATTTGATTGAAACATCATTTTCAAAATGAAATGTGAAAACATTAAATTAAGCCAAAAAGTCAGTTTAACACGAAGCAATCATGTAAACGAGAAAAATAAATCAATGGTCTGAAATCACAATGAATTGTTTAAATAAAGTGAACAGTCTCAAAAAAATATTTTTTTTTATAAAGTCATAATGACAATATGCCACAAATTACTATGCTATGTGTTTGCTAGGGTTTTTTGGGTGGTTGCTTTCTGACCCAAGTCAAATCTCTATAACAGTCTAACCCCCTAAATATGCCTCATATTTATATCATACATATTATAATTTATTATGATATTAACTAAAATATTATGAGATTATCAATTCATCATTCAGTATATGAAAATGGCAGATCTGGGCTGGACTTTTTTTAGGCAGCATTGAATTTTAGATAAAATGATGCTAAGATAAAAATATTTAGATAAAATGAATGTTTCTCTACCAGTATTAGAATGTGAGTTGTGAACAAAGTCAGTAAGTAATATAAATATGTCTAAATACTTTAAAAAATATATTTATAATTCGGGAGTTCCTTTTAGTCACAATTGACAACTGGAAAGTATTTGTTGACATTCATTTTATTTTTGGGGGTAATTCTGGCCTTGTTTGATTACTTACTACTAAATCAATATATATATATATATATATATATATAAAATTATTTATAACATATTTCTTAACATATTTTTTCCTTAAAAAAAAGAAGAAAAGTCACGATTTAATTGTTTTCCTGCTATTTTTCAAGTTCAGTCAACTATTTTGGTTTTACAATGCGGTTTCTGTTCAATTCTTGACACTTGTGACAGGTTTAAAGACGTCAGATGTCATTTGTAATATTTAAGTTACACAATAGTATAACTCGATGAACTCCATGAGTTCATGAGATACATTAAAGATATGAGTATGATTGCAACATCAGTAGCATTCAGCAAACAGTGCTCATCACATTTGTTCTTTTGCCGCACCTGGTATACAATCTCCCTTTCATAAAATCTGAATCACATTATTACAAGTCCGCACAAAGCAGGCCTGTACATTTGGTTTTTGAGGGAATATCTGGGATGTCTTTATAGTTTTAGACAAGCTCTGACATGTGTGTGTGTGTGTGTGTGTGTGTGTGTGTGAGTTATTTAGTGTAATGAAAGACCAACATTTTGCCAAGACGGACCCAGGACCAAATTCGTTTTCAGAAAGATTTGCATTTTTAACATTTTGTCTTGGCTTCACTGTTAAAGCAGTATTGATTCAAATGCTTATGCATAACCCATTGTTTATTTCCATTTTTCTTTTCTGCAGTACTCTCCGTTGCTGAAGAAACTGTACTGTCAGATTGCCAAGACCTGTCCGATTCAGATCAAGCTTGCTTCCTCGCCCCCAAACGGCAGCGTGATACGAGCCATGCCAATCTACAAGAAGGCTGAACACGTCACAGAGGTGGTCAAACGCTGTCCTAACCATGAACTTGGACGGGACTTCAATGAAAGTTTGTAAACTCCATTTTTGTTTGATATTGTGACATTTCATTGTTTAAATGCAATAACTTTTTATGTTGCTTGACTGTTCATGTTAGTGGGATAAAATGTAAATATGCTTTCTTTCAGTGAAAAATGGACCAAATTGGTTAACAAAGACATTTGAACAACTATTTAAATAAATTCTGGAGTCTTTTATTATTATCATTATTCACTCTAATATGAAAACTGCCCGGACAAAGAAAGTCACTGTTTGGATTTAAATAGGCAAATGCTTAAGAGTCTATGATTTGATCATTATTGCAGTGATTATTATGTTTCTAGCATATTATATGTTTGGCAACAGACCTTGACCAAAAATGTATGCAGTGCACCTCTTGATGGATATAACATCACAACATTTATTTCCATCAAGAGGTGCATCAATATTTGGTCAAGATCTTGTATTGATGACAATGCAAGAGTCCAGCACTCTGTAAAGTCTCCTCCAGCACATCTCTCACAGAAGACTTTCTGTGAATTTAAGATCTGGACATGTGTGAAATTATTCTTCATGCTCCTCTCAATCATTCTTTCACAATCTGAGCCTGATGAGTTGACATTTCCATCCTGGAATATGGCCATGATGCAGGGGCGTAGCAGCCATTATAAAAGTGGGGGGGACAAAATGGTGTGGTGATGTGACCCAAAGGTCAGTCCTTCCAGAAAAATGCAGAGTTTTTTTGTGATTGTTGCGGGCAAAAATCCTTGATTATGCGGCGATGGAATATGCAGGATATTTGCAATTTTATGTGATGAAATTGCGGGAACTTGCAAAAACTGCGGTTTGATGAAAAAGAGAGAAAAAGTGATTCCCCAACACCCTGTTCTCACTAGGCTACTACCTTAATGTAAAGAGCTATTTCTTATTACTTCCTATGATAAGCAAACATACTACATCACAGAAAGTGCTGGAATATTTAATCTTGTTTTATTTCAGACCTTAATAAACACATGGCTCAAACTTACAAAACATTGATGAGTCAAACAAGTTCTGTAGCTTTACAAAAGGAATATGCTACAACTTCTGTAAAAATGAATAAATAAAATATGAAAAAAAATGTTTCCTGTTTTACAGCTTTTTTTCCATTTTTTTTTCCAATGATGTTCATGTCGAGTAATTACGTCACTTCATAACGTTCCCATGGCAACCGGGGGAAACGGCTGCTCTCGTGTGAAGCAAACGCAACATTTTTCAACTTTCTGCTAAGATATATGTGACTTTTTTTTGCAACAAAAATGCGGGGATTATGAAATCATTCAAGCCCCGCATATTTTGCGTGGAAATCGGCAATTTATACGGCAAAAGTGCGGCGTATTTGAAAAAATGCCCCTGCATAAATATGCGGACTTTGGCTGATTATTGAATCATGCGATCGCATAATCGCGTTTTTCTGGAGGGACTGAAAGGTGATGTTCATAATAATAAATTCTAGATGGAATAGCAATTGGCATTTTACAGCACCCTAGTGCCAATTTTGGGAACATGCCATGATAGTTTACAGCAACCTATTTTTGTGAAATCATACTCGAAATAAAAAAAATATTGCAGGACTTGGGACTTTCAGACAACTGTGGACATCTATTAGGGCTGGGCGATATGGCTGAAAACTGTATCACGATATCAGTGTTTCATATCGGTCGATATCGATAATTATTGATTTTTTTTATGACCCATTTAAAATAAGGACCAGGAGAAAAAATATATATTACATTTAAACATTTTTATTTTAAACTTAACCTTCCTCTGATTACAATCCCAAGACAGAAATGTCAACACAACCATGGAAAACTCAACCAATTAAAATGTAAACATAAGTCTAAATTCACAATCAGACCTGCAAACTCCTCAGAGTAAAAAAGGTGGCAGTGGCGCGGCGGGACGTGGGTGAGGGGGGTTTGTGATCGTATGTGCCCCCTGCTTGATTTTTTTTTTTTTGAGACATCACGGTTCGGTACGATTTCGGTACAATGGAGTGAAAAGCAAAACAGAAATATAGAAGGCATTTTTATAAATGTCTTAAGCCTTGTATTTTTTAAATAAGTTTTATTAATAAAGGCATAGAACCAGTTTATTTATAGTGCACTGATAATAGTTTTATATAATTGGTTTATTAATTAAACTAATAAAAATATAGATATGAGATATGTTTGGTAATTGTACCTGAATGAATTTAAAATTAATTTGCTATATTTCAGATCAATAAATTTGTTTTCCTTAATTTTAATTAACCCTAACTTTATTCTCAGCAGAATTATAAATAATTGATTTCCATATAAAATAATCTACCAACACATTTCACTTTCTTTTTTAATCAACGTGTAACTTAAAAATAAACAGATTAGTGCTCTGTTTTGAGGACAAGAAATGAAAACCAATGCGATATGATGAATGTCCAAAAGATGGAACACACAGACTGTTTTACAAAGGGGTTGGATAAATATGTTTTGCTTTTAAAACGGTGTGTGACAGTTGTAGGTTACAGTTTGACAAGAAATACAGTGTGACAAAAGCACAATGTTGTGTTTTATTGCGAGTATAGGCCTACACAAATATAAGTAAACACTTTGCAGACTGAATGACGGAGTATGTTTTTATGTCTCCACTGTTCGATCGCGCCCGCGTGTCTCTCTCTCTCTCGCCACACACACACAGACACTCCAGCATTGCAATCTTGACATCGCAGCCTGTTCATTATGCTGTGTTCACATCAAACGCGAATAGAGCGAATTATCCAATAATGTTTCGCAATTCTAGCCTGCATGGCATGCAGATGAAGGGCACTCATTTTCTGCTTATCAATCGCCGGTTACTGAAGAAGAACGCAGCACGAGACAACGATGGCGCAACCAAACAGACACGTTACATGATTGCCTGAGCGCAGTGGCGGAGCCAGGATTTTTTCATAGGGGTGGCCAGGCAAGGGCCAGCGAACAGTCTGGGGTGGCATATAAATCTTAATTATTTTAACATAAAAATTAGTTTAAATAATGTATTGGACTGTTTTAGTGCCTTCCTACACAACTGAATACAGTTCACTTGTACTTAATTGTAATTGAGATAGTAGTGAAGGAATCATGGAATACTGAGTGAATTTGATCTTTTTTTTATTATTATTAGCTACTTACTACCTCCAGGCATATTAATAAAGAGTACACACACTATAGCTAAAGTTCAACTTGCTCAGTTAGCTTGGTTCTGGTTCTCAAAACCCCCAACACCTTCATGGATGAGACATGCAGATAACTACTGTAGTTCGAAGATTATTTAACCTTCATTGAATTTTATATAATCAATTAACTCTTCAACTTTCTATATTAGTTGTCAAAATAAAGAATCTAATCCGTTCTATCATACCTAAATTAAAAAGGGGGGAAAACATCTCTTAAATCTCTATGTCCAAGAATGTGAACAAGGCGGAAGTAAACAGCACATAAATACCAGAATGTAAAATTAGTTATTTTATGTGATTAAAAATGATAATTTTTTGTTTTGCCTTTACAAATTAACGCAAAATTACCGCCTATCTTCTAGTAGCTTACAAATGCACAGTGCTCACATTTATTTGAACATTAAAAAAAATCACATAGCCTGTCAGTTTGTGCCTTAAATTGTGATTTCACATGGCAGAATATTTTAGTCGAGACATATGTGACGCATATATAACAAATACATGCATGCATGCAGTTTTGACACAGATTTGATCGCCTTTTTGATTATTTCATGAGTTAGCTAATTGACGACAGAATTACTGCTACAGCACGCCACATTGCGCGTGATGTGCAAGTACAGTACAACGGCTGTCAGGACAGGAAAGTTAGTTTTACTGACATTTGTTGACCTTACAACATCTCATCTTACCACAGTTACTGATTCAGGACAACGCGCTTTTCTCCGCATCTGACAGAAGTGTCACAAGCTTTCACACAGATCTTTCATAATAGGAGTAGAGAGAGAATTACGTTGTTGTTTCTTTGACTGGACATATGCGACTCACTCAAAACGGTCTCGCAACCCACCAGTTGAGAAACATCGAATCTATATTTACTATGCTCCGATCACTGCTCAAGCTCATTCGGTACCCGTACATCTCCGCACTCGTTTGACTTGCGCCTGGCGCTGAGGTGAAGTTGGAGTGCGCGTCTGAAAAGTCTCACGTTTTTTGTGGTCTTAAAGCGACGGTTCTGTGTTTTAAAAACAAAATTCTTGTAAAAATTAGAGCGAGACAGAAACAGCAGTTGTGAGAGGGGTGGCCAAAGGGGTGGCCAAGCTTAAGCCAAGGGTGGCCATGGCCACCCCTGGCCACCCCCTGGCTCCGCCACTGCCTGAGCGTGTCACTCCCTACGTTGCTAGGTTACCAGAGAGCGAGTGCCTTTGATAATGCAACCAAACTTGCTTCGCAACCTGTGGTTTCTTCCGACGAAGAAAAAAAATATCGAACGTTTTATCAAACACATTTTTTATTGATATCGATCACGTGTCTATCGCGATACATATCGTTATCGTTTTATCGCCCAGCCCTAACATCTATACTTTATTTTTATGAAATAAAGATATTTTATGATATTTACAATATTTCAGTTAAACTACACTTGAACAATAACTTTTATTTTACTTCTTAACAGTTGGACCAAAAAAAAAGTGTTCAATGAGTATACAGATTACATCTAGCCTACAGTAATTTTATACAACAGACATTTTATAAAAATATATCAATAAAACCTAAATCAATGTATTCAGTATTGGACATCAATTTAACATTGACTTGTTGAATTTTACATTGAATTTTGGTCACCCGACGTCGCAACCAAAATTTAACCAAATATCAACGTCTTATGACGTTGTGTGCCTGCTGGGAATAATCTGTTATGTCTCATTTAACAGACGCTTTTATCCAAAGCAACAAGTAGGAGAGCATTTAACACACACTCGGCACAATCCGGCGCGACGTGAACCCATACGGGTTCTGTTGTCTTACACGTCTTACTGCGTTACAGTAGGTTAAATCATAACAAGGAAACTTGTGATTCATGTCATCGCGACATACTGTAACAGTGTGTGTTTGAAAAAAATGATGTAGTCCTCTGCTTTTTTTCTGGGGTGCATTAGACGGCCAAACAGCAAAGCGACTAAACAAACACGAAAATTCGCAAGAGCAACAAAAGATTTGAAGCTCATGGCAGACGTGCCCAATAGATGCTTCGCGCTGTGATTGGCTGAATGTTAGCTCACTCAAGTCTAAGTAACAAATCAGAGAACACGGGCGGAAATATTGGCGCTGAGTAAAAAATGCGGGGGACAGAATCACCTGTTTCTAAAAGTGGGGGGGACGTGTCCCCCCCGTCCCCCCCGGTTGCTACGCCCCTGCCATGATGTGTCTTCCTACATGGTTGTTTAAGAAATGAAAAGCTACACACTCCATCAATTAGGGTTAGAAGAACTTAACCAAACATATAACATGCTAGAAACATAATAATCACTTCAATAATGATCTAATCAATCATAGACTCTTAAGCATTTGCCTATTTAAATCCAGCGACAGTGCATTGTTCTTATTATTCACCTTGTTTTCCTGGTATGTTATTCCAAAGATTGTCAAACAGACAAACACAAACAGAAATATTCCTCTTGTCTCCTCTAATTGAGAAGCTTTGTTTTCCTGCTCTCTGTCCAGGTCAGACAGCTCCTGCCAGTCACTTGATACGGGTGGAGGGCAATAATTTGAGTCAGTATGTGGATGACCCTGTGACAGGCCGACAGAGTGTGCTAGTTCCCTATGAGAATCCACAGGTTAGTCGAACAGTTGCAGTTCTACAGTGTCTTGCACAATTGTTAAACAATTCTCAAACCTACTCAGAACGCATTAGCAACCCCACAGCAACACCCTGGCAACCAGGGTGAATCACAAAATGTATATCGTTTCTCACACTTACCCTTGTGAAAAACAAGTAGCATGCTTTTAACTCTTTCCCCGCCTGCATTTTTGATAATTTTCACAAAAATGTCATGGCTCCCAGAATATTTGTTGTTAAATATCTGAACATGCAATATATCATAAGAAAGAACAGACCCTCCACTTTTAAACAAAAAACCTGTTTTATTCTAGCTTCATGCATTCTTTTTTTTTAGCAACACTTGAATGTGGGTAAGTTTTAAAAAAAATCAACATTTTGAGCAAAAAGCTGAGAAAATCAGGTTTTTGTCAAACACTACATCCAGATGTGTTTCAGAACGATGATCAAAACACCTCGTCCTGGGTCGACATTTCATTCGGGAACATTAGGCAGTTTTGGTTTATGCTGTTTAATGTTGATGATCGTGTTATTTTACATTTGCATCTGCTTACATATGATATCGCTTCTTCTTCACATCTGCTTTGATCAGGAAATTCAGTACTCTTTCAGAAGATGTCATAGCGCACCCTAGCGTATAACAGTGAAAACACGGAAACACGGAAAATTCAGTGTTTGGCGGAGAAGCGTTTTTCTCACAAATAAAAGAAAAGTCTGTGTTTGGCGGGGAAATAGTTCAAAAGAGTGCTTATACGGAAATAATATACTTTAAAAGAATATACTTAAGTATGAACTAATTGCAATTATTTGCTAATTGTTATTTTCAATTAAATTAAAGTGTAATTTACTTAAAATTTTGATTAAATGCAGTTAGTTTATGTTAAGAGGGCTGTTTTTGACCCAGTTTAGAAGGACTTAAGTACATCTTAATCGCGATAATAAAACCTAACAGTACAGTTTTTTAAAATATATTTCTATATTTTAATAATTTAACATGTAATCTCCAAATTAACTTAGAAACAACGTAAAAATACAGTAGCCTATATTTTAAATAGTGGTTTAATGGCATCTTTTTATGAAAGAAGGCCAGTATCCCCAATACCAACACTGATGTCTCTATGAGTATGAAATGTATTAATTATAGGCATTCAGCATTACAGTATAATTTAAAAAGCTATCATTTATATCATCCAAGTGGATGCTGCACACTGGTGGTGGTTGAGGAGAGACCCCCTGATATGATTGTAAAGCGCTTTGGGTGTACAGTAGTACATATGAAAGCGCTATATAAATGCCTAATTCTATTCTATTCTATATCAGGGCTAAAAAAAATTCTATTGTTCCAGTCAGACCGGTTCAGATTTTTACTTCCCCTGTCAAAATGCATAAAAAGTGTTTTTGATTATGGTTGGGCATTTTTTTCCTGATCGTTTATAGGTCTAAAAAAAAGGTACTCGAGCCTGTCCGTCATGGAGATAATGAAAATATGACATGAAAACATGAACATATGCCTAGGAAAAATAACACTCCTAGATTATAATGCATCAATGCTTTTGAAAAAGAAACCTGTGTATCAGCGTTGTTGTTATGGGAAGAGCGAATCCACAACGGGAGTTACCCTTTCAAACTAGCACGGTCAAGTTCACGTGCGCATTCGCGTCCTTTTGTGCAGATGTAAGTTGTAATAGTATCTATCTGTATATATCTATATATATATACAGAGTATATATCTGATTAATCAAAATTAGGATTTTTAAGAGCAACTAAAGCACGAAGAATTTTCAACATTCTATTACAATCTCATTATAATGCTATGTATATGGGAGATTGTCGCTGCAAATCTTGTACTTAATTGTATTTTTTATGATCAAAGTGATTTCAGTCATCACTGCGCGTTTTCGCATTTATAAGCCATAACGAGAAACAAATTTAAATAAAGCAGGTCTACTGTTATAAAAATATGAGAACAAAATAATACTGCTAATTGCTAAAACACATTTCTTGAAACCATCACTCACTTTCTCAAAACCTTAAACACAAAACACAAATTTTCAAACCACATTCAGAGAATCTCTGACTCTTCTGGCAAAATCGAACAATTGCCTCAACCATTTTATCTGTGCTCAAAATCAAACAATGCTTTCAGATCATACACACATGAGTCAATATTATAAACACTACAGACCATACGTTAGACACTACATCAAAAAATGGAGAACACAGAATCCAAAGCATGCAGTTGCAGAAAAAAAGTATATTGAAACAAAGTAAACAAATTTTGCAATTACGTAAAAAAGTATAGTACTGAAAACTTACAGTAGTAAGGTGAATAAAATGTGTACTGTATGCACCGCAAGTACAGTATTGTACTGAATATTGTATAGTAGGCCTATTGAATGTCTGTATATTCAGCACTTGCATACTGTGAAAATACAGTGACCCAACTGCAAAAGCCAAAAAAGGTTACAGTAAAAAACACTAAATGAAAAGCATGTTACAGTACACTCAGAAGAGTTGTGCAACTGCAAAATCAAGATCAGTGAGAGAGATTTTATTCTGCTTCAGCATCATTCATGTCTTCATGTTGGTTTGGCCGGAGGACTTTGTCCACATCACAGACAATGTCAGCTCTGCAGGCAAAGGGAAAAACCCTAAAGCAGATCCAGCCTTGACAACACTCTCCACTCCTTGCTCTTCCTCATCCTCCTTGTTCACCACCTCTTTTACACATACTCCTCCTCCTCTCCCTCATATATTGTTTCCATTAACATTCAACTGAAACTGAAGAGTGAATGAACACCGGTAGGTAAACTTCTGCGCTTTGCTATAGCTGGTTAATATACTCAACCAAACATGTCCTAAATGAGATTAATCAGAGATAGACAACATAATAGTAATCTTACAACTTACATCTGCACAAAAGGACACGGATACGCACGCGCTAGTCTGATGTGTAACTCTCGTTGTGGATTAACAGCGCGCTGATATCAGTCAACTCAAGCATAAAGAATTTACAACATTCTAATCAATTACAATCGTGTTCTCATTATAATGCTATGTATATGACAGATTGGCGCTGCATATCTTGCACTTAACTTTATTTCAGGATCAAAGTGATTCCATGGGTCTATGCCTTTCAAATCCAGTTTCACTTTATTTCGCCGGTCTGCAAGGCGTGCTATAACGCTAACCTCAGGTATCGCCCAAAATGCTGAAATAACCAATCAGAAAAATATATTTTTTAAAGTCAGGTTTTTTTTCTGTCACGTCCGAGTAGTCGAGTACTTGTGCCATCCCTATTTCTGACCCATGTAACCTTGTTAACAGTGCTTTAAGATTAGAAATTGAATAAAGTTATCAAACACTTTACAGTCTTCACTGCATTAATTATAAATTAAATATAGATAAATCCTTCTTAAAGCTACAAATGTTATTCAGTCAAGAGTGATTTTCTCTCTTTTGTTCTTTGATTAACATTAATCACAGACATCACAGCACTGGTTTATAGGCTGCTGTCACTTTAAGACCTGACGCACATGACGGGGATCTTATTTTCTCACAACTCTTTACTAACTAATTTAACTGTCCTTGTGAGGATACTCTACAAAACAGCCATTTTGGCGTAAATTTGTGTGTTTTGTTCATTCAAGCGCTGTCTGAAGCGGCTTTCTGGTGCGCACGAGTGTGTGTGTGTCACACAAACAGGAGATTCACAGACGCGCCAATAGTAACACACTCTTTTGTGTCTTATCACGCATTAAAGCAATAAGCCCCAAGAAGCTGTGGTTTACAGTAAATTTATAACAGCTTGAAGTACACTACAAGAGAACACTTCAGAGAGAACATTTCTTTGGTTTTCTATGTGCAGTCACAAAAGCACACATACACAAACATACTGTGCATTTATGCACATACTCTCATAAAACAATCATAAGTGCACAAATTTACACATATACATGATTGATGGTTTAAAAATGTGTGAAACCATGCAATGATCACTCGGTTCAGGACGCTTAACATGTTCTGACTGGCTATAAATAGCCAAAGGATTATTCTCAGTAACAATACCTGTAGTTATTCCTCTGTTGCTCCGTTTTGTTGTGTTTAATGGCAAATTGGTGGCGCCACCTAGAGGTACATATTTCTTACGTTCTGTCAGTGCTGATGTTGGGTTAATAAATACATTTCTGGTTCTTTTTAATAATTTATTTAAATAAATTCGTTAAGTGTTCAAAAACAAAAAGTTTTTAACTAAAACTGCATTTAAAAAATGCATGTAAAATAAAAAAGGGACATCTTGAACATTATTGACTGATGACTCACTATATCAGTTTTTTGAACTGGTTAATTTCAGTGTTGCTGAGTGAAGCTAAATTAAATGATTAAAGTGAATTTGACTTTCCAATGCCGTACGATATGCTATATTTGCAATAATGCAATGCTAGAAACTGAATATGTTTCTCTTTGTCTCTCTTTCTCAAAGGTGGGGACTGAGTTCACAACCATTCTGTATAATTTCATGTGCAACAGCAGTTGTGTCGGTGGAATGAACCGCAGGCCTATCCTCATCATCATCACGCTGGAGACACGAGAGTGAGTGAACGCCTTTACTGTTTTCCTCAGCACTGAAAACTACTTGCTTGTCACATGCTGAAAAACAGTGATTTTCCACTTATTTTGCTTCAGACAAACAGAAGTCAACAAAATGTACTTAAAAATGAGCACTGAAATGTATTCATTTAACTGTGAACTGCATGACAACAACATGCAAATTATAAACATGACTAGGAAAACTGAATGGGTAGATTCAGTTTGGTGATGCCAAAAGTTAAAGCTGAACTCTACCATCTTTTCCCACAGTGGGCAGGTTCTCGGTAGGCGTTCGTTTGAGGGCCGGATTTGTGCGTGTCCGGGTCGTGACCGTAAAGCAGATGAGGATCATTTCAGGGAGCAACAGGCGCTAAATGATAGCGTGGCCAAAAATGGAAATGCCAATAAACGAAGTAAGCCATGAATGCATTTCTTTCTTCATATCATATTTAAAATAAGTTTCTAATCTTTTAAATGTTCTCATAGGGTGTTCACACTTGGCAGGTTTGGTTCGATTAAAACGAACCCTGGTGTGATTGCTCTGTTAGTGCCGTTCATTTGAATAAGTGTGAACACTGCCATCTGAACCCTGGTGCCACACCAAACAAGCGCACTGAAACCCCTGAAAAGAAAAGTCTCGGTCCACTTCCAAAAGAACTCTGCCGCGGTTCGACTGACATATGAACGCAACACGGACCAAAGACATGTAAAAGAACCCAAAACAGGACGTGATGTCACAAGATTCACAAAACAGGACGTGATGTCACAAGATTCACATCTTGTGACATCACGTCCTGTTTTGGGTTCGTTGACAGAATGCTCAAGAATGGATGGATTTAGGACAGAATGCCCCAAAAATGGCAGAATGCTCAAGCATACCTGCATACCTCCGTCATAGGAGCTACGTTGCCCATTACAGTTCGGTACAGGCATCAGAAACACAATCTTCTCGCAGCAGATCTTCGTTTGTGTGCAACAGAGGTATTCCTGTTGCTGGTTTGACTCCTTTACAGTTCTCAACTGGTAAAAATACCATCATATGTACGCACAAGATGTCCGTAGCAAAATACACATCATAAAAGATGTTTTTTTGTTTGGCATCTTTAGGTTTGTTGTTAAAAATGACAGTGTGAATGCTACATGAACCAAGACTAAATATATTATTTTCTGTTTTGGTCTGGACCAAAAGAACAAAGAGAACCAAACTGCAAGTGTGAACACACCCTTAGTTATTTTATCTCTGGTTAAAACTGGAGATTCTGTTTATGAATTTACAGATTTCAAGCAGACTCCAGCCAATATTACAGGGCCTTCCATCAACATCAAGAAGAGGCGGCATGGAGAAGAAGAGATGTATTACATACCAGTGAGTGTGGAAGCATGCAAAACATACTTGTTTAATTTTTTTTTAATTTTATGTCCAATAACAAATGTCTCAAGTTATTGTAATATTTTTGGATTGATTTGCAGGTGCGTGGTCGAGAGAATTTTGACATCCTGATGAAGATAAAGGACAGTCTGGAACTTGTGGAGTTTGTACCACAGCAGTTAGTGGACTCATACAGACAACAACAACAGCAGCTCCTACAGAGACAGTGAGTGTTTATATGCATCATATGCTGCCGTTTAAAAGTTCAGAGTCAAGTGACAGACAATCAGCATTTCAAACAAATACTGTTGAAGAATCGTTCCTGGAAGAATCCACATATTCTTTCCACAAAAATATGAAGCAGCACAACTATTTTCAACATTGATAATAATATGTTTCTTGAGCAGCACATCAGCGTATTAAAATGATTTCTGAAGGATCATGTGACACTGAAGACTGGAGTAATGATGCTGAAAATGTAGCTTTGCCAACACAGGAATAAATTGCATTTTAAAATATATTCAAATTGAAAACAGTTATTTTAAATTGTTATAATATTTCACAATATTACCATTTTACTGATCAAATAAATGCAGCCTAGGTGACTTTGAAAAACATTACCAACCTCAAATCTTACCGCACCCAAACTTTGAACAGTATACTTATACAACACTTCTCTGTTTTATTTTATATATTTTTAGTCAAATTTGTTTTGCTACTGTAACTTATAAGACACAGTATATTGAGTTACATTTTTGGACCATTCTTTTGACTTAGCCATATTTCTAACATGTAGTAAAAGGTGACACTCAACAAACCTAGCCAGTTCAGATATTTCATGTGTTCTAGCTCAAGCACACCTGGAGCAACTAATGAAGCCCTTGATTAGTTGCATCAGGTGTGCTTGAGACAACATCTGTTTTGCAGATTTGTGCTGTTGTGAGGGATTCAAGAGGTTGAAAACTTTTGAGACTGCAGAAGTCATTAAAAGTTGCATTTTCAGTTGAAATTGAAACATTTGTTGTGTTGAGCTATTTCAATTACTTTTGTTTGATTTGTTCATTGCAAACAGCTGAAAGTCTGTAAATTTTGCCAATAAACCTCATTTGCAATGAGGGTTGAATAACTGTATGTAAATGACCTCTGTTATGATTTGCTGACAAAATTGCATGTACAATCAGTAATATCATACCTACCAATTTGCTGAATACAGGCATTGGTTAGTAAATGAGTCAAAGTGTTGATTGTAATATCATAACTGCCATAACTAAAATGTCATACAAGCCAGCTCAGTTTCAGTACATGGCTTGGTGAACTGATGAGAGGGCTTTGCACTGTGAATAATAAAGTATGTCTACGTATCAGTAGAAAAGCATTTTCAGCTGACCATGATATGGCCTCTTTCAGCTCATTCTTCAGCATCTAGTATTGTAGTGTTCCACAGAGGGCCGTATATAATTGTGTTCCTCTCATGTGATTGACAGGAGTCATGTTACCTCTCCGTCTCCATATGGCACACTCAATAACATGAATAAGATGCACGGGTCAATCAGCAAGCTTCCCTCAGTGAATCAGCTGGTGACACAACAGACTCAGCAGAGCGCAGGACCCTCTGCATCCATGTCACATATGGGTAAGCTCCTCCTCAACATTTATATATATATATAATATATATATGTATATATATATATATAATATATATATATATATATATATATATATATATATTACAGTTTTTCTTTTATTTCATGTCATATACTCTTTTCATATACCAGTTCATCTCTAACCAACTCTTTAAAAAAAGTTATTGATTTTGTCTAGTTATTTTAGTCTAAATTATTATAGTTGAAACTTTTATTAAATGCAATTACTTTAATTAGAGTGTTGTTTTTTACCCACTCAAATAGGACTTGCAAGTACATCTTTATATGAAATTTCATAATTCTGTTGTCTTTAAAATGTGGTTATAGTGTACTGCCAACTGTACTGACAAGCATTTATTTTAAACTACAATACACTTTAATGTCATTTCTATTGAAACTTGTACTTCATGTGTTTAAATATATTTGTAATTGCGCATTTGTGATAATGTAGTTGCAATTTAGTACAATTAAAATATATTCACTTTAAATGTAATCTCAAATAACACTAGTTAAAATTATAATCAAGTACTTTACATGTGCTTTAGTGTACTTTAAAACACGGCAAAAGATTACTAAAACATACATTTAAAATATACATTAAAGTAACACTTTTAATTTAAAACTATTACAAAGTGCACTTTTTAAAAGTCTCTCACTCTTTAAGTAGACTTAAGTGACCTTTTTATTTCAGTAATATCTGCAAGTAGTTTTTAAGATTTGAAGGACACTACAATTGCACATTCAATACAATCAAGCGCACTTCTTTTTTACAAGGGTATTTTGATTTGCTTTCATTCAATGGAAGCGGGACTGTTGTTCTAGCAATGACATTTGCATTCATGAAAAGCTACCAGACATTTGGCTAATAGCAAAGTGTTATTTGATCTCTAAATCCCATGTGATGCTCATTTGATGTTTGGTGAGTGTTCATTTAGGTTTTGACGATTGGCTGTTGTGGATTTGTTCATGCAGGAACAAACATGCTGGGTGGACACCACATGCAGTCTAACGGCGACGTGAATGGAGCTCACCCGTCACAGTCTATAGTGTCCACCTCTCACTGTACCCCTCCCCCACCTTACAACCCCGACCCCAGCCTCGTCAGGTACTTCACCCTGCAGTAGCACCAACCTGACACACGCGTACACAGACTACAAATGATGTTCAGCTTCTTTCATATGGATTCTTACAGCAGTGCGACTGAAATTAGCCTCATGTGTCTCATCAAGAGTGGCTTCAGGTTGTCTTACTCTGTAGAGCAGGGGTGTCAGATTCAGTTTTAGAGGGCCAGTGTCCTGCAGCAGAGTTCAGCGCCTCCAATTAAACACACCTGAATCAGCTAATCAAGGTCTTCGGGATACTAGAAACTGGTGTTTTGGAGCTGGATGGAGCTGAACTCTGCAGGACAGTTGCCCTCCAAACTAGGGCTTTTTTACACCTAGTCACTTCATGCGTTTTTTCCTATCGGATAGACATCCGAGTGTAAATGCCCTACAAGACTAAATGATCCGACCAGCGCTGATGCCGCTCTTTCTCCTATTGCGGTCCTATTGATTCTATTGATAAATATAATGCAGCGTTTATCGGTTTCATTCGTTGACGTGAACTCCGTTAAATTTGCATATAGCACGGGAAATTGAAGATCGGATTTATATCCGTTTTGCGGAGACACATTTATGTGGCCATGTGTAAATGGAACCGTTTTAACAAATCAGATATCTATTCGATCAGTAAAAACGTATGAAGTGAACAGGTGTAAAAAGTAATCTAGACATAAAGAGCAACCTTAAATAATTCAAAGATGCATCTCCATTTCACCACGACTTGATCATCTATCTTTACATAGTTACAGTTGTCAAATTACAGTATACTGATAATTTTTTTTGTGCTAATGCACAAAAGAGGATTTTGATTGTAATGAAATCTTTGCTTTTTTAAAGAGGTTCCTATTTCAGACTTGTACATAAGAGTAATATCTTTTTTAAATATTTCTCTGCTGGTCAGAGAAACATTTTGACTTTAAATCACACCTTTTTCATTAATATGCATATTCAAATTTCAAACACTTGATGTGTTTAAATTTTACATCATTATACATACGGCCGATTACATGCAGTTATTTATCACATTGGGCTGGGTAGGGGGTGGTGAGGTGCCTAAATGGCCTGTGCAGTTTTCATCAGGTGAATCTCACAAAAACATGTCTGGTACACCCCAAAATCAAAAGGAAAAAACGGATAGTTTTAAACGGATAGTTCACCCAAAAATGAAGAAATTGTAATCAGTTACTCACCCTCATGTTGTTCCAAGCCCATAAGATTTTCATTCATATTCGGAACACAAATGAAGATCTTTTTAATGAAATCTGAGAGATTTATGTCCCTCCGTTGATATTGAAGCGTCAATGTGGTAGTTGCGTGTACTAAGTTCATTAAGAGATCATAAAACTAATCCATATGAATTGAGCGGATTAGCCCAAATTTTCTGAAGAGACGCAAACACTTTTTATGATGATCAGATTTAATTTAGGCTTTTATTCACATAAACAGAAGCTCAAACGAATTATCTTAATGCGCGAGATACATTGTTGAACCTCATTGGTTCTTGTTGAAGCTCAAACGTGCTGTGTAAACGAGAATGAACCTCATTGGTTCTCGTTGAAGCTCAAACATGCTGCGTAACACAAGAATGAACCTCATTGGTTCTCGTTGAAGCTCAAACATGCTGCGTAACACAAGAATGAACCTCATTGGTTCTCGTTGAAGCTCAAACATGCTGCGTAACACAAGAATGAACCTCATTGGTTCTCGTTGAAGCTCAAACGTGCTGCGTAACACAAGAATGAACCTCATTGGTTCTCGTTGAAGCTCAAACATGCTGCGTAACACAAGAATGAACCTCATTGGTTCTCGTTGAAGCTCAAACATGCTGCGTAACACAAGAATGAACCTCATTGGTTCTCGTTGAAGCTCAAACATGCTGCGTAACACAATAATGAACCCTTTATTGGTTCTCGTTGAAGCTCAAACATGCTGCGTAACACAAGAATGAACCTCATTGGTTCTCGTTGAAGCTCAAACATGCTGCGTAACACAAGAATTAACCTCATTGGTTCTCGTTGAAGCTCAAACGTACTGCGTAACACAAGAATGAACCTCATTGGTTCTCGTTGAAGCTCAAACATGCTGCGTAACACAAGAATGAACCTCATTGGTTCTCGTTGAAGCTCAAACATGCTGCGTAACACAATAATGAACCTCATTGGTTCTCGTTGAAGCTCAAACATGCTGCGTAACACAATAATGAACCTCATTGGTTCTCGTTGAAGCTCAAACATGCTGCGTAACACAAGAATGAACCTCATTGGTTCTCGCACTTAAGAAAGAATGCTTGAGCTTCCGTTTACCGATGGCCGTAGCCGGCTATGAGGTCACTGAGGTCCGGATCTCAATATTTTTCCGAGGTGTAGGCTATATAATAAATGTTGTGACATAATTGCCTAATATAGTATTATCACTACTTTAATGGTGCAAGGCTTTTGCACAGCACCAAGATCTTCTCATCTTCGCTGCTTCAGTGGACTAACATCGCTCGTCAATGTCAAAATATTTGAGATGACCAATCAAATCAAAGTAGGCGGGCTTAATGTTCACAGAAGCTGCTGAGCGCGAACTCCAGCACAACTCGACGCTTCAGTAAACAGTCATAAAATGTGAGATAAAATGCGAGATAAGATGTAAGTAGCTAAACTAAACTTTTCATATTTGACAGCGGTTTTAGGATGAAAGTGTTAAACTGACTGACAAAAATAATCAGGCAAACTAATACACTTTTTTCTAATGTCACCATTTTGAATTGAAAACAGGCCTATGTAATTTCATACAGGTCCTTCTCAAAAAATTAGCATATTGTGATAAAGTTCATTATTTTCCATAATGTAATGATAAAAATTAAACTTTCATATATTTTAGATTCATTGCACACCAACTGAAATATTTCAGGTCTTTTATTGCTTTAATACTGATGATTTTGGCATACAGCTCATTAAAACCCAAAATTCCTGTCTCAAAAAAATTGCATATTTCATCCGACCAATAAAAGAAGTGTTTTTAATACAAAAAAAAAAGTCAACCTTCAAATAATTATGTTCAGTTATGCACTCAATAGTCAATACTTGGTCGGGACATGGAGGCAATCAGCCTGTGGCACTGCTGAGGTGTTATGGAGGCCCAGGATGCTTCGATAGCGGCCTTAAGCTCATCCAGAGTGTTGGGTCTTGCGTCTCTCAACTTTCTCTTCACAATATCCCACAGATTCTCTATGGGGTTCAGGTCAGGAAAGTTGGCAGGCCAATTGAGCACAGTAATACCATGGTCAGTAAACCATTTACCAGTGGTTTTGGCACTGTGAGCAGGTGCCAGGTCGTGCTGAAAAATTAGATCTTCATCTCCATAAAGCTTTTCAGCAGATGGAAGCATGAAGTGCTCCAAAATCTCCTGATAGCTAGCTGCATTGACCCTGCCCTTGATAAAACACAGTGGACCAACACCAGCATCTGACATGGCACCCCAGACCATCACTGACTGTGGGTACTTGACACTGGACTTCAGGCATTTTGGCATTTCCTTCTCCCCAGTCTTCCTCCAGACTCTGGCACCTTGATTTCCGAATGACATGCAAAACTGAGCAACAGTCCAGTGCTGCTTCTCTGTTGCCCAGGTCAGGCGCTTCTGCCGCTATTTCTGGTTCAAAAGTGGCTTGACCTGGGGAATGTGGCACCTGTAGCCCATTTCCTGCACACGCCTGTGCACAGTGGCTCTGGATGTTTCTACTCCAGACTCAGTCCACTGCTTCCGCAGGTCCCCCAAGGTCTGGAATCGGTCCTTCTCCACAATCTTCCTCAGGGTCCGGTCACCTCTTCTCGTTGTGCAGCGTTTTATTGCCACACTTTTTCCTTCCCACAGACTTCCCACTGAGGTGCCTTGATACAGCACTCTGGGAACAGCCTATTTGTTCAGAAATTTCTTTCTGTCTTACCCTCTTGCTTGAGGGTGTCAATGATGGCCTTCTGGACAGCAGTCAGGTCGGCAGTCTTACCCATGATTGCGGTTTCGAGTAATGAAACAGGCTGGGAGTTTTTAAAAGCCTCAGGAATCTTTTGCAGGTATTTAGAGTTAATTAGTTGATTCAGATGATTAGGTTAATAGCTCGTTTAGAGACCCTTTTCATGATATGCTAATTTTTTGAGACAGGAATTTTGGGTTTTCATGAGCTGTATGTCAAAATCATCAGTATTAAAACAATAAAAGACCTGAAATATTTCAGTTGGTGTGCAATGAATCTAAAATATATTAAAGTTTAATTTTTATCATTACATTATGGAAAATAATGAACTTTATCACAATATGCAAATTTTTTGAGAAGGACCTGTATATTGTAATAATTAGTAACTGTCAATGTGAGGGAATAAGAAACATAAATCTCTCAGAATCTCTCTGGGGACAGAAATCTCTCAGATTTCATTAAAATATCTTAATTCATGTTTCGAAGAAGAGCGAAAGTCTTACGGGTTTGGAACGTCATGAGGGTGAGTAATTACTGACAGAATTTTCATTTTTGGATGAAGCACTGTTAATGGTCTGTGCATTGTGACAGATTTCCATGATAATTAAGCACATTTCCTCCATAAATACTCATTTCTGTCACAGATCTGGATTTTATTTTTGTAATTCTCATAATTTTTCATTAAATTCTCCCTACAGTATAAGCATTCATTAGAGACAGCACAACAAATACTACAATTGTATTTAAACTCATTTCTTTTTTTATTACAGTTTTATAATAAATTAGGAAAATATTATTAATAATTTATTATAATTAATGTTATTTAAAAAAAATATATTACACATTTTAATTATAACTAGGGCTGTCACGATTCCTTTATTAAATGTGAGTAATCTCGGTTTAAAAATTAAAAAATCCTCGATTGCAATTGATGAAGCAAACTATCATTTTTTTTTCTTTTCTTTTTTGATTAAAATATATGATGTATGATATATGTATGATATATTCCATTCAGTTTTTTTGAGATTCACTTTCACCCAGTTATGTGTTTTAGTCCATTGCCACCAACAACCTGTTTACATTATTAAATAAGTTAATAGCATTGTCATTTGTGCTACTCTGCCAACCATAAGTCTTATATATTGGCACCTAGAGTGATATTTATTTTAAACTAAATGTGTTTTAGTTGACAATTTTCCATGCACATTGCATTGTTTTACCGACTCCATTGTCAAAAATTTAATTTATTAATATCAATGTTCCATCTCATTTAATTATCAATGTATCAGGGTGAAAATTAAGGGCAGCATCTATAATTATGACAAAGCAACACATGTGTTCGAAACTTTGTTTAGTTTAAAATGACTAAAACTGCTTTATTAAATCAGATATTGTGATCATTAAGCCATTTCAAAACACTTTACAGTCAGATGTTGAATTTGCTACACATACTTTACTCACTTTCTTGTAGTTTTGTTTGTCTTATTTGCTCTGCCTTTAAAATAACTCTGTCGGCTTTAAATTTGCTGTTTTGATTGTATCAAGCAAATCTTTTTTTTTTTTTTTGGGTGAAATATTTATAATAAAAAGATCAATACACAATGAAAAACTTGTTATGCATCATTAATGTAATTGCATGTTTTGATTGCATTTTTTTATAAAATGAAATCCTATGCAAATTCTGAAAAGAAATTTGCATGCAGCATTTCATTTAACTACCATTCAAAAGTTTGTGGTCAATAAAACGTTTTCTTTTCTTTTTTTTAAAGAAATTAATACTTTTATTCAACAAGGATGCATTCAATTAAGAGTGACAGTTAAAACTTTTACATTCTTAAAAAAAATATATATATATTTCAAGTAAATGATTGTTCTTTTGTATTTTCTATTCATCAAAGTGTATCGCATGTTCCACAGAAATATTAAGCACCACAAGTGTATTTAACATTGATAATATAAAGAATTATTTGAATTAAGAATGATTTCTGAAGGATCATGTGACTGAAGACTGATGCTAAAAATCCAGCTTTGATCACAGGAATAAATTACATATAAAAACATTAAAATAGAAAACACTTCTTTTAAATAATTGTAATAATATTTCACAATATTACTGTTTTTACTGTATTTATATAACAAATAATGCAGCCTTGGTGAGCAAATGAGACTACATTTTACCAAACTTTTGAATGGTAGCAAATATTACATTCACTTGTAGCTGAACATTTCACCATATTTAACTGGTGCTTGTATAATCAAAGATTTGATCATAATTATGATTACAATACAAATGCTTTATTTTAATTAAGTATTTTGTTGCCTAAATACACTCACATTATTAATTCCATCAGTACTTGATAATAATCCCTGTGCAGATGCAAATGCCGTGGTGCTTTGCTTGTTATGTTCTCCATGGGTGAATATGTAATTCACAGGACGCAGCCGCTTGGTCTTAGTGGGGTTCCTTTTGTCTCTGAACAGTTTCTTAACCAGCCTGGGCTGCCAAAACTGTATCGACTACTTCACGTCCCAGGGACTCCAGAGTGTGTACCACCTTCAGACTCTTTCTATGGAGGTAAACCAACAGTTCGGCCTATATGGTGTTTGAATCATTTGTGTTTTATCCTTATAGAGTGCATTAGTGTCCAGCCAATTTTGGCCACTGTGATTTTGCCAAGTTAGACATGTTCCTGGGTCAACATATTTTGTTGATCCTGGAACAACCTTCCTGTCTGAAAATGTAATCCTAAACCTAACCCTGCATAACTCATCCCTAAAATGAATCAGAGGGAAATGATAGGTGAATAACACTGATGCCGAAGCATCTAACCCTGGTTGTAAGCCTGAACTTGACATAAACTGTAAACTTGTCCCTCAGATCTGATTGGTTGATTGGAATGTTTCTCCAGCATCAACAAAGATGTTGATCCAGGAACATGTTGCACTTGGTGAAATCAGATTTGAAATACTTGATTCTGATTGGTCAGGACTTTGTGGGCAAATATATTTGTATAACAACACAAAATTTAGTGGGATACATAGATTTGTCATGTAACAAGTGCAACAGTGTCCGCCCACTTTTTCAAAGAACTACAATCCCATGAAGCTTTGTGAACAGAATAATTGAATTAAACACGATTGAGAAATATTCAAGTATTTTGAGAGCGTAGAGACTCGATTATGTCATTTACAGTGGGCGGAGTAAAGAGCTCTTTTGGTGCGTTTGATTATCGTGACTCTCTGATTGGTGGAATTTTTGTAAAGGATCATGGGTAATGTAGTGTTTCACCACAATTTCCGGTATTATTTTAAAAATAAGCTAAAATAATGCAGTCTGAAGGCTTCAACAGAACCAAATACTTTCAATTAACTCTTTCCCAGCCATTGACAAAAATGTCCGGCTTTCTGTGTTTTCACTGTTCACTGGGTAGGGGGCGCTGTTAGACATCTTCTGAAAGAGTACTGAATCTCCTGATAAAAACACAGGTGAAGAAGAAGCAGAAACAAGCGATAGCATATGTAAGCAGATGCGTTATGTAAAATAACGCGATCATTAACATTAAACAGCATTTAAATCAAAACTGCCTAATGTTACCGAATGAAATGTCGACCCAGGACGAGCTACTGTGAGGCTTTAGGAGTGTTGATTGACTCGATCTACTCCATCTATGTTTTGATCATCGTTTTGAATTCGATCAAAGCCCGTCTACGGAAAGCCTTGGCACTTCCTATTAGCCCCGTTGTATCATCTTGGTTGCAGTTCCATTAGAATTCCACTGGAGGTGATCACGGGCGAGTGCAGAATGAATGGGAGTCTATGGGGCTAGACGGCTAAATGTATCTCTTTCTCCTGCTTGTCGTTGAATCAACATATATTTTATTGTTGATTCCACAAGTTCAATATAGATTATAGACCAAAAGTCGAATAAATGAGTACTTCTGTCCTTTCGATTTCTTACAGGTTAGGCCGTTGTTGGCCGGAACACGCTAGCATTCTGTTATTATGTGACGTTATCACATTTTTGAATGGATTTTTAGAACAGAAAAGTGATCTTAAAAATGCAGTTTTCAGCTGAGTGTATTATCTTAGTCCCTCCTTTTGAATGCAACTTTCAGATTACTTGACAAAAAATTACATCCTGAGAAAAGTGGATTTCTGGGGGTGAAACCCCATAGACTCCCATTCATTCTGCACTCGCCTGCGAGCGCCCCCGCATGGACAGAGACGTGTTACTGCAGCCAGTTCAGAACCCGGAAGTAACCAGAGCGTGCCAGTTCTCTCCTATTAGACATTCTCTGATTCGATCTGGATGTAGTCTTGACAAAAGACTTTTTTTGCTAAAAAAAAGAATGCATGAAGTTAGAATAAAACGTTTTTTTTTTTTGTTTAAAAGCAGAGGATCTGTTCGTTCTTTAGATAAATTGCATGTTCAGATATTCATACATATTCTGGGGGCCATGAAACTTTTGTGAAATTGTCAAAAAACGCTGGCGGAAAAGTTAACAACCTCGTAGCTCACTGCAGGCTTGTCTTTAAGTTATCGTTAAAAATTATCAAAAGAGTTTTAACTTCCGAAACCCGACTCTTGCACTCTATAGTAAGATATGATTGTCACGAAGGCCTGTTTTTTTCTACCGTGAACGTTCACAGCATGATGTTTACTGTGAGCACGATGTACTTACTACCTGTGATCTTGTGTTCCTCAGGATCTTGGGGCCCTGAAGATCCCTGAGCAGTTCCGGCTGGCGATCTGGAGGGGCCTGCAGGACATGAAGCAGGGCCACGACTACATCCGCTCCAGCAGTAACATGGCCACGATGGCCATCGGCCCCGGAGGAGAACTGCAGCGCCAGCGCGTCATGGAGGCCGTGCACTTCCGAGTGCGTCACACCATCACCATCCCGAACCGCAGCGGGGCCACGGGGGGAGACGAGTGGGCCGACTTCGGCTTCGACATGCCCGACTGCAGGATACACAAGCACTCCATCAAGGAGGAGTTCGCAGAAAGCGACCTTCGCTGAGAACTGGTTTCCATCTCTATGTTGTCCGTACTGGGTTCTTAAAACTGCAATGGACGGTTCATATTTTCCATATAGTCGCACTTCCATGTTTGACAACTAATGATTTGGCGAGTAGAAATTCCCTTTTTATGAGCTCCGGGGTTCAAGCGAATCATTTTATTAGATGGCCTTATGCTAATGTTACATCACACACACACAAAAAAAGTTAACTAAAATGAATGATATTATTAGGATGTAGTTATGAATGGTTAGAAGCGGTGTATGATTTCAAAACATTGCCTTATTTATTTTTTTTGGCTTGTTGTAAATTATAATTGTGCAATCATGTATGATAAAGGGGAAAAAAAAACAGTGTGAAGTAAAGTCCGTAGATAACGTGGATACTTTGACCCACTAAATCATACTTTATATTCACTTATTTTGACAAAGCTATATATGTATGGCTAGGTCAAAAGGCATTCTGTATTTGATTTATTGTTTCATTACAATGGCATACCTAACTATTATTTTTACGTTATCAAAGTTTCACAATGACAGTGATGAAGACCGCACCATTAAAGTGCAGGTAAATTTATAGGTAACAGATTATTATTATTATTTTTTTTATTATTTTTTTTACAGGACATCTTTTACTGCTTTTGAAGTGGTATTTTTTTATGCATTTGTTAAGTATTATGTTGTTGAAAGGGAGACACTGTATTACCATACGCATTTTTTTTTCAATGCCTTTACAGTCAGACTTTTAAAGTTCACCTGTTTCGTGGTATTAGCCTTGCAGGACAAGGTTTTATTTATCATGCTGTACTGTTATAATGTCTATTTTTTACTTTATTAGATGCCTTGTGTTATCGTTTTAATTGTCTCTAATTTTAGGATGTTTAATAGTAAAATTATGGCTCAGTCAAGGTACTAAGCTGAATCTTACAAACACAATTCCCGGTCACATTTCATCCCAGAATCAAAAGAAAAAATATACATTATAAATTATAATTTTGCATAGACATTAGGGCTATTCTAATTTTGACATTGTGCCATTATTTGAAAGATTTCTCATCATAGTAATGCATTTTTAAATCAACATAAAGCACGATAAATACTACCATGATGTATAAATACATAAATATTAATATTTTCTGCATTACCCCAATAAGAATTTTGGTGCTACAAATTGTAATTGCCTTAAAATTTTAAATTTGGTCTTTAATCAAAATATAAATAAATTTTATTTGTATGTTTTTATTTTGCGGCTGAAATATGACCTGAACCTCATTTTGTGATTCACCTGTCTCAAGACTTTACTTTAATATCACTACAACTAGTACTAAGAAGACAAAGTCTGAAGTACTTTTGTTCAGCTGACCCACACAATTATCATGATATGATCCCATCAAAAACCACTGCTCCTAATATAGAAAAGTGTTTCAGACAGAGCCTTCTTTAGAGGAGGACGTCCAGGAACATTGTCCTCTGTGGAAAATAAGGAATGTATTTATATTTCTTACTCCTATACAGTCTGTGTATAAAACTGAACTAAGAGCTGTCTTGAACATTAATAATTTGGTGGATTGTATAGTTAAAGGTGCATCTGTAACCTTTATTCAACAAGCTAATGCATTTGTAAATAACTAGTGTTAACTATATACTATTCACGTGATGATAACAGCACATCTTGAATTGGATGCCACTAAAGGGTCCCAAGAGGTTCATTGAGGACAAAATGAGGATTTTAAATTGGCCATGATGGTGAAACGCCATCATATAGATCCAAGCACTTTATGGCTTTAGGATATTGTAAACAATGTTATATTTGCAGTAAATATCAGTCAGTATTATGTCACGCTGTGTCATTTTGACAACTACAGATTTTAGAAATGTTTTTAAGAGTTAATATCTTGTGTTTTCATTAAAGAGCTGTTATGCTGTTTCTTTTTTTATATCGCCATGTTTGAATTATATTGTAAAGTGATTTCTTTTTCAAATAAATACTAAAGTGTGTAAAACTGAGGGTGTTTTAATTATGCAAGGTCAGTATTGGTTGAGGATCACCCACTAATGCATTGGTCTCTGCTGGACTTCAGTCATTCCAGACATTATATTTCATATTGGCCATCGATGAGACGACAGTGGAGAGCATCTGAAAGAGATCTTGACTTTTGCCAGTTATCTGAGAGAAGAATGTGCTCTTTTCGGCCTTTGGTCCATTTATCACCATGTAACACTAGTAAAACTGGTTATGCCCAGTAAACAATCATGGAATGCCTACACATTTTAGTGGGTTAAAAGTACATTTCAGACATATTTATTTATTAAAACCTATAGGCTATTCAATTTTAGTTAATATTACTGACATATATTTAATTAAAATATTGACAACTAAATATGTGTATATATTCATATGCCTCTAGGCCTCTAAGACATAGAATAATTGACATACCTTTCAGATTAATCTCTTTTACTTGGTCTGTCATCGCTTATTCAAAAGGTTAAATAATTGGCAAAACTAATTTTTAATTGATTTAGTGTTATATGATACTTTAAAACACACACACACGCACACACACACACATTATAGTGCGATCAATTCAATTAATTGCATCAAACATAAAAATTTGTAAATGTATAATACTTGTATATATATATATATATATATATATATATATAGCCTGTATATATATATTAGGGTGCATCAAAAAACACAATTCTTGAATTTTGATATGGCTGGGTGCTAAAAGTGTTCCAATATATGTAGAAACAACAAATGCAAAATATTTTTCCAGTACATGATGATTTAGGGGTGCCACCGTACATCTGTTTTTGTTGGATAAAGTGGTTAACAGTGCTCAATGGTCGCCATTGAGATCTACAGGTAAACAATACTACAGCTCAAGAAATCTGAGGTGATCTTTCTGTGTTTGGTATGTATTATTACATATTACTATCATATCTGGAATTGTATCTTTGTAGACTTATTTATCATAAGTCATTTAAGTCATATTTATAGGTATTTGGTGCTCATTACATCTAGCTAACGTTAAATAGCAACAGTTTGCTAACCACAGTTAGCTATCTATGTTAGCTAAACTATTAAGCTTAACATCAACAGGATTCTAGAGTGGACAATGTCATATTCACAGTATAGATGACTCATGTTTATTGAGAGTAGCATTGTAGTTGGTGGTAGACTTAGTCAATGCTAACAACAAGCTGCGGAAAATCGCCCAGGCCAATCGCTCCAGTGTGACTACAGCGAAACAATTGGAGAAAATGGAGTGCAGACTTGATGCCACATTTCCGCTGTGGCCTCCAAATGTTGAAAAGCTGATTGATAACCCAGAAGACCTAGCTTTCTTGGCCAGCATGAAGAATGAGAGAGTGGCCACATTTGGGGCCGGTTTCACAAAGCTATTTTAGACCGGTCTATAGTGTTAGACAAGTCTAAAATTTGCTCATAGACTAGTCTAATGCAAGTTAGACTGTTTCACAAAAATAAAGACTGACTTAATTTAGACCAAAAAAATGAGACGCCTTCCCCCCCCAGGCTAACTTAGGTCTAAGACTCTGTTACCTTGGCAACCAACAGTAACAATCAGTTACATTACAAACAGCCAAAAGCAAAGGGAAAATGGCCCTATCCAAATTAAACATTTCTTCTTGTTACTACATTCTCCGCTAAATTTCCCAAGTAAAATGTCCTTGTAACTGTTATACTCCTCCAACAAACATATATTTTCCGCTGGGGTAAACTGCACTCAGGGACGGACTGGGACTAAAAAACGGCCCTGGACTTTGACTAGGCCCGGCCCAAAGCAATCGGCGCGTGGAAACTGGACAACAACAACAACAATAACGCCTGCACAAATGAGTGTCACAAGACTTTAATTGTGGCTCATGATACTATACCATCCAAATTATAGCTAACAGCATACACTGTCAGAAATAGGGGTACAGTAGGAGTCCATTTCTGTCCCCCAAGGTACATATATGTACCTTTTTGAGGGTCAAAAAGGTACATATATGTCCCCAAGCATTAAAAGGTACATATATATACCGTTTCTTTTAAAGGTTAAGGTACAATATCAAAAGACAGCCTCTGCTAAGTAATTTTTTTTTTTGTAAAAAAGGTTTTAAGGTTTTAAGGATACCTTAATCATTTAAGGTAGATTTTAACTTATCACTATATTTGACTAGCCTTGAAATAGAGGAAATAAAAGTTTTGTAAGTCAATTTACTGATATTAAATCATTATAAAACAGCAAAAACTCCAGTGTTAAATTAACTCTCCTGGGAGTTTATATGGCTCCAGACTCAAGAGTGTTAAAGTGTTAAAATATGACTGTTAAATTAACAAAAGTTAATGAGCTAATTAAGTGATTCATTGAGTGATGATTGACCATTATTGAAGACACCTGATGTTAACAAGCAGAATCACTGAAGTAGAAAATAAAATAAAATTAAGACACCGCTATGGTGATCAGTGTTTGCTTTAGTTGGGCTCTTGACCCTTAAACTGATAACATTAGATTTTGTTTCTCTGTTGTGTCTGAGTTACAACTGCCAGATGAACAAAGAGAAAAGTTGATCAGGTGGTGTTGGTTATGTTTTGACAATCATAATTTGACCTGAATCACTGAACTCATTTGAAGTCTAATCTCTGACTTAAATGTATATTTTTGATTACAGCAGCCTGTGATTCAACAGAATAAGATCCATCATTTTCTAATCTAAAGGGTTTCTTAAAAGTTTATCTGATAAAACAAATCTTTCTTTTAGGCACACACAGACATCAAGAATCAGTGTATGAATCTCAACAATGGTGACAAAAAGAATATTCAATTAGGGAAAGGAAATTAGTAAAACAATTTGGATCATAATTTATTCATACCGCAATGCATGATGGGAGCCATGAATGAGTTTTGATTGGTGTCACCCAGAATGCACTGCAACATGCTTTATTATTGTCACCATTGTTGAGATTCACAGGCTGATTATTGATGTCAGTGTGTCAACATAAAACAATTTTTAAAAAAGTATTTTGATCAGAACAACTTTTAAGAAATATTTTGGATTATATGGAAATTGCTGGAAATCATTTGCTGTAGAATCACAGGCTGCTGTAATCAACAATATACATTTAAGACTGAGATTGAGAAAAAGAATGAGTTCAGTGATTCAGGCAAATTATGATTATGTCAAAACATAACCAACACCACCTGATCACCTTTTCGCTTTGTTCATCTGGCAGTTATAGCTCAGATACAACAGCCAAACAAAATCTAAAATTAATGTTTAAGGGTCAAGAGCCCAACTAAAGCAAACACTGATCACCATAACGGTGTCTTAAAAAATTATATTTTCTCCTTCAGTGATTCTGCTTGTTAACATCAGGTGTCTTCAATAATGGTCAATCATCACTCAATGAATCACGTAATTATCTCATTAACTTTAACATTCTTGAGTCTAGAGTCATATAAACTACCAGGAGAGTTCAATTAACACTGGAGTTTTTGCTGTTGGACCTCAAGGTGCATACATGTACCTTTTTGAGGGTCAAAAAGCATTAAAAGGTACATATATGTACCGTTTCTTTTAAAGGTTAA